ATCTGAGCAACCCAAGCCAGCTAAGTTAACCCTTTCCTCACACTGAGTGTATCCCTGGGCTACGTGACTCATCCCAGCACCCCTCAGACAAACCAATGCTGCCTTGCCAATCACCTATACATTAACGTATATGTGTTGCCACCTTCTGACTTTAGATAACAATAAAAACAAAGTTGGCCATATCACAAAAGGCTAAACAAATGAAAGAGAAGTGTTCTAGCTAATAAAATAAAGGCTTACTACACAGTGAGTTTAAGGCCCATGGATAGAAAGTAGACAGGTTGAAAGAGCATGGTATAAGCAAACAGAAGGTCCCACAGAGTCCTCCTCACCTCAGAGTTTAGGGTGTTTGCTCTCAGTGACGCATATGAATGGTCAGACTGAACCTGATTCTCAGAGAAGCCACATGATGATGATACACAGCACAAACTCTGACTCCAGTGTTAGGGACCTGTGATTTCTATCTCAACAAGCAACTTCGTAAGACTCTTCTAAAAACGTAAGCTTTGAACAGTCATAAGAAGGCAGGATGGCCAAAGTGGGCGTATAAACCTATGTCATGAGTCAGAAGCACAAGATAAAAATTTTGGAATTAACAAAATCTTAATTTTAGCAAACTCCACTACTATTTTATTTTATTTTTTTTTAGTATTTATTAGTGTCAGTGATAAGGTATAATCTTAAAGATGATGTCCCACCTTGCATGATGGGATAGCTAAAGGTAAAAGGAAAGATAAATTCTGGCCCATATAAAACTGGGTCAAATTAAATTGAGGGAAAAAATTATGCCTTGTTCAAATAATACAAAAGTTAATCTTACTGTATTTTCTTCACTTAAAACAAAAAAAAAAGTTTCTTCTTGTTAATGATCTGAATGCCTTTAAATACCAAAATGAGAAGTACACATATTTTCATTCATTTTTTTCTAAAGTTTTAAGCATAAAAAAATGGGCATTACTATTTCAAAAGAACCTTGATAAACAACATATTAGAGCCATGCATATTCCCAACATGCACATAACAAAGATCAGATCTTGATTAGGAGGCAGCCAGCAGCAGGGACTCTCCCACACTTGTTCCACAGAGGACAAACACAGGAAAAATGGCTACAGTCATGTCTTAGAATAATCTGGATTTTAACAACTATAGGTGAAAAAAAAAAACCAATTCCTATTTTCAGTATCATCTGTAAAAAATAAATGGAGGGGGGGGCTGCTGTAATCTATCTAACAATTAATCCTCACAAGAATGTCCTATTATCTTAATCTGATGGAGAATTCTCAGTGAGACATTACTGCTCTATATGTATGATGGATAGAATGGGCAGTGATGGGCAGTAGAACCACAGTCACCACTGACTTTACGGGGCAACATCTAAACTCTTTTCATATTATTTCCACTAACCATCTAGAAACAGCTTCAGGATTGTGGCGATTAGAATAGGTATGACACCCATAGATTCATGTTTGGCTGCTTGACCCTAGGGAGTGGTGCTATTAGAAGGTGTGGCCTTCTTGAAATGGATGTGGCCTTGTTAGAGAAAGTGTGTCATTGTATAGGTTAGCTTTGAGGATTCCTCTGCTCAGGCTCCACCCAGTGTGGAAGAGACCCTCCTCCTGGCTGCCTTTGGATCAAGATACAGAACTCTCATCTACTCCAGCACATCTGCCTGCATGATGCCATGCTTCCTGACATGATTATGATGGCCTGAACCTCTGAAACTGGAAGCCAGCCCCAATTAAATGTTCTCCTTTATAAGAGTTGCCTTGGTCAAGTTGTCCCTTCATAGCAATGGAACCCTAAGACAAGGATCTACTACTCCTTCCACTACTAGCTTGAGTATGCTTTAAAGACAAAAGTCCTACCCCAGAGCAGCACACACCTAAACTTTCTAAAGCTCTGGAGAGAAAGATTCCACCAGACTTCTGCAACTGTGTTTCTCAAACCACAGTCTTAATGTATTCAAGTCTATAAAATTCTCTCCTGAGAATGTTTAATTTTATAACTCAAATCCTCCATAACATAATAATATGTGTGTTTCCAATAAAGCGATGCCACTTAGAATCTCTTTGGTGGTCAGTGACTAACATAGACAAGAGCCATGACAGAATTAAAATATAAGCACATTCATGTCCACATGAAGCTCAAATGAGGTCACCCTTCCCAAACAAAAGGTTTGCTGGTAGCTCAAAAGACAAGAAAAAAAACCTGAGTAATCACATTAACTATAGCAAGGCTGTTAAAACCAAAGGAAGCTATAGCATATATGTTATTACATGCAGAATTACATATGCATAATATATACATATTCTAAACTCATATGCATAAAACATGCATAATATAAACATATGCATATTATAATGTATATGCATATTATAAACCTATAGACCTCACAGTTATCATCTATAACATTAAATGAGCATAGCCATTTGTACAGCATTGTGTTGATTACAAATGCAGGATTTCGTACTTAGGAAGGGTTATTCCTATATATCATACTGTGGTAACAGCCCAACAGTCAGCTGTGGGGTTCACGAGAATATCCACAAGAGTAGGGTACATGGTTTGAGTAAGAGAAATCAGTCATTCACCCAGCATTTGCTTTTGTTCCCAGAGATGTGTAGATGCTAACATGGAAGCAGCCAAAGGCTCTTGACCTTGACAAGGACAGCAAGCTTTAGACCACCTCCACACTTGCACCTCCAGAGTCTCTATGCTCCAAGGTTGCTGACACCATAGCCACACAAATGGCACAGCAATCAGAAAAAGGCTGCCCAAAAAGCAGTGAACAGCGTCACTTGGTTCCAAAAGACTATATTTGATCAGGGACAAAAACAGAAAAAAAAAAAAAAAAACCCTCATGCCTCTTAGAAGAAAAATCTCTAAACATTGAAATTTTTAAATATTATGAAAAATGCAAAAATGTAAAATAACTTCTAAAAGGAAAAGGAACTTTGAACCTTATGAACCAAGCAAATGCCAGGTCCAGCAAACAATGCTAGTCATGGATTACTTGATTTAAAACAAAACAAACAAAAATGGTAAAATATAAAAACAAATGAATGTTTTATAGAGCATAAAAAAGATTTTTCAGCAAAATATAAAAATGTAAAGCATTCCTTCCTTTAAGTTTGTAATTCTTTAATGTGAGATAGCTTGGCCTATTCAGAGCTAGTCTAAGAACAAGGCAACATAATTTGAATTCTAAAATTCTTGCTCTAGTAAAAATTTCTTTTCGGTTCTCAGCTCTGAAAAAAAGACAAAAATTTTCTTAAATAGAGGGGGGAGGGGGAAAGTCAGTGCCTTGAAGTAATTTTTAAAAAAAATTAGATTCCTATTTACTATTTATTTATTTATTTATTTACTTTTGACAAGAGTCTCACCTGATAGCCTTGGCTGACCTGGAACTCACTATTTAGACCAGGCTTGCCTGGTACTCACACGAGACACTCCTGCCTCTGCTTCCTAGGATTAAAGGCAGATGCACCTCCTATTAGTTGCTATTAGCTATTAGTTGTGCTTCGAGAAGCTTCTGGATTAGGGACAGACAAATAGTGGCGTGTACAACAGATCACAACCTCACCCGGCTCTTTTCAGACACAGAACGCCTGTTGTTTAGAGAACTCTACTAAAGACAAAGGAGAGTAGAATTCTTTTTCTTACCCAGAAAGCTACATTATCTTAGAGAATTGTAAGACATCAACCTATAATTGTTGTTTTAAAACAAACAGCTTTTAAAAGGTTAATTTTCACATCTGGCAGAGGCTTAGGTCAAGTAACACTGTAAGTTACTGAACATAATTACGCAACTAATCTTAAATTTCCATTAAATATCTCTTGGAAATTTTTTTTTTAATTTTTCTATTCTTCTTGACCAGGAACAAGAGAAATTCAAATATATCATTTTTAAGTTAAGTATTAAAAAACTTAAAGATAACAAGTCTCAAGATAAACTTTGTAATATCTAATCTTAATTCAAACTATAAATTTTAGAGGCATTAAAATATGTAGAATGTATGTGTGCAACACTTTCTTGGACTTCTCGCTCGGTTGTACAAATGAAAGGCTACATGGTGACTCACATAATCTCTATATATTCTTTATGATACAAAGACCCAAGATCTTAATTTATCCAAAACAAATAAAAACCATGAAGTCTCAAGCAAATTTCATGTCAGGTTAAGGAATTTCCTTGTCTGGGTAGGACATGGCTAAAACTGAAAACCCTGGAAGGGTGTGGCAACCCACACCTGCAACCCCAGCACTAAGGCAAAAAGCAAGAGGGTCTATGGGGAGGACGGTCAGGGCTGGACAGCAGGACTCTGTCTGGAAGAAATAAAAGCAAACATAATAATACTCAATGTTCCTGAGGCGGGGAACAAGTACAGCACTCCCACATCTAGCAGAGTGGGGTGTAGCTTAATATGCATTTCTGTGTTGTCTGCTGTGCATCACCAACCCTGATAATCGCCCCTCAGATTTCCTGATCGCAATGCCCACCACAGAAAGCCATTCCAACAGCTTGTTTAAGGTTGTCTTGATGGCATTTCCATTAATGGTTGACCTCTGCCAATTAGAAGGAAACCAAAACAGCACTGAACACAGAAACCTATGAACAAAGCCTAAAAGATTGAATTTACGAAATCTACAGGATACACCATAGATGCAAAGATAGTTCACAGAAACAGATCCAGGCCGCTCTGCAAGATGTACCACTTAATAGTCATCTCAGCATGACAGACGTGACACAGAACATACAGAAGAGTAAACAGTGAGAAGGAATAAAGGAAGTGATGGTGGGAACCGTCAGAAGCATTTAAGTCTGTCCTGGGGTCAAGTTATAAAAGGGGAAATAGCCAGCAGAGAGGGTGGCTTACAAAAGCAGTTACTTGCCATAGCAATCAAACTTTGGAAGGTCAGCTGTTTAGACTTCCCTAAGTATAGTACTCAATATTGTAAGGTCATGACCTTAAGAGACAAGAAGGAAAAGGGACACTTACTGGGATTGAAAACTCCCCAGCCAGGTACTTCAGTAAAGACGCTCCTTTGCTCAGGAATTTGTTCCTTTCTTTGATGTTGCCTTGGAGCTGGGAGTCAAACTCCTTTCTGACCACAGAAGCAATGGAGTCAACAATCACAAGCTTAACTCCTTTCGAAATGATCTCTTCCTCCAAAGATTCAAGCCTATGAAAGTAGAATTTGTAAAATAACAAACAAGTTTAAGACACAATTTTATTTATCTGCTTTTCTTTTCAGAAGGAAAATGGAAGAACACTGTATTAGGATTTGAGAAAAAAGCCAAACGCAGGATGGGCAAGCTGTAAATCCTGGCAGCTGCTGGGAGGCGGGAGCCAGTTTAGAGTTAGAGTCAGCAATGGAGGTCTGCAAACATCTGTGAGGGGAAGAGGGTGTTAGAGCAAACAGTGAGACAGCCCAGAGCTTTAGAGCAAACATGCTTGGGAGTCTGGTTGTTCTCCAAGACAGAGACAGAAGGTGGGGAGAGGACAGTCATGCTTTTGGAGTTAGAAAAGCAGGCAGGCCTAACACTGAAGATCTGTAAGCAACCGCCAAGACATGACTTTAAAAAACAGAGTGTAGGGGCTGGAGAGATGCTCAGTGGTTAAGGAGTACTTGTTACTCTTGCAGGGGACCAGAGTGTGGTTCCCAGCATGCTCGTGGAGATTCACACCCATCGGTAACTCTAGTTCCAGGGGATCCTACCCACTCTTCTAACTTCCAAGAGCAACCAGACATGTAAGTGGTACACATACAAACACGCAGGCAAATACTCATACTCATAAAATATAAAATAAACAAATCTAAAACAGCAACACTACCGCAATGAAAAGATTAATCAGCTTTAAAATAACAGCAAGCCAGCTCTGGTAACATAGGTCTATAGTCCTCACTGCTCAGGAAACTGAAGAAACAAGTTTGCAAGGTCAAGGCTAAACTGGGCTACAGTGGGAGTTGTTCAAAACCATACTGGATAATTTAGTCAGTATGTTATCAAAATAAAACCTTTAAAAAGGGCTGAGATGCAGCTCTTTGGTAGAGCACTTACCTGACACACATGAGGCCCTAGATTCAACCCCAGTAACCCACGTGCACTTGCTCATGCACTAGTGCATGTATACATACTCTCTCTGTCTCTCTCTGTGCGTGTCTCTGTCTCTCTGTCTCTCTGTCTCTCTGTCTCTCTCTGTCTCTCTCCCCCCCCCCCATGTTACAGTGATGGCTATAAAATTCAGCACACATAACTTAGTTCAGCACTCCTATCCATAATTCTTCTGGAAACAGAGACAGTGTTTTGATGTTGTCCTACAATAATACATAAGCTGTAATTTTAAAGAAAAACTACCACGTGTAGCCAGTTTCTAAAATGGCCCCCTCGTATTATCCTACCCTGGTGCGTCATATCTTTGTATGAATTTGTATGTAAGTGCCCTCCCACACCGCATAAGAGTTGGCCTATGTGACACACACTTATGACAAAATGGTGTTGCTCTTGTTCCAGACAGGGGGGCATAAGAGACGACGCCTTCCATATGTAATGAAAGGACGCCTTCCAACAGCACACCAGTGAGCTTGGGAACAGGCATACCAGCCCTGCTGGTCCACAAAACAACCACAGTCCTGGGCAACAAGCAAAGCAAGAGAGACAGCTAAGCCATTTCCAGATGTTCAGACCCCAGAAAATATATATTTGCTGTTCTAAGCTGCCACATTTCCAGGTAATTCACTAACAAAACAACTCAGAATTAATAAACCACTTAGATTCTAAAATATTCACTTAATTTTTTTCCATTTTAAAGAAACATTTCTAAACAAACTACAACAAATAAAGAAGGCACAAATAATTATTTCCTTAACTCTATTACATAAGAATTATTTTACTAAGAAGCTGAAAATGGGGAGAGAAAAACCCTCAAAGCATTACTAAAATATTACTAAAATATCAAATATTTTAGTAACACAAAACTGCCTACCTTTGTAGAAGTCCCTCACAGGTAAGTTCTCTGCAAAGATGAACTCTACTGCTGGTCAGAAGCAGCTTTTCCTCAGTGTTAAAATACTGTGGAAAACGGGATTCCGAGATCTCGACCAGTCTATGGAGAGAAGGGAGGAGGGTACAAGGAAGAAGAGTGAATACTGAAAGAGACACTGCTGAGTCCCCAGCACATGTCACGTGGAAAAGTCCTAAGACGTTTCCGTATGTCAGGTGGAGGAAAAGGCTCAAAATATAAGTCTGAAGTACATGTGTCCCCTGTGCGAATTAACAGAGGTTGACTGTCAGAACCTAGCAAGCAGTCTAGGTCTCATCAAATTTCCAACAAGCAACAATGTCCCCAAGGTTTCATTTCCGGAAATAGTATGTTTACAAACAACATTTTTTCCTCACAGCTATTTTAACATATTAGAAATTAGAAAAAAACTTTCAGTTGCTTGAATGAACAAAGTCCATTTCAATAAATATGGTACTGTGCTCTAATAATAACTAAGTTGTCATGTCTCTTTCTAGAAAATATGCTTTCTCAATCAAAATCCCTGGTAAACAGAAAATTATTGTTTAACCAAATTAATGCTATCCAGTTACTTCTTGTTAACAAAAAGTTATTTTCTAAATATTGACTCAGACCTCAAGGCTATATCTGGTCATATGGGGCAGGTCAAGTGAAGAAGAGTGACAAATCAGAACATAAGTGACAGTTTCGTTTAACAGAATGAGGCATGAAGGACATCACCAGAAATTACAAAAGTGTAAGTGTAAAACTCAAAAACAGAACTGTTGGAATATAACTGCACCCCAATTGAAATAACTCTCGTCAGCCTACTTTGCCATCCAGGGGGATCTGGAAAAGAAACTGTAAACACTAGGCCATCCCATAGTCTACATTCACGTTAAAGACACAGAAGAACAAAAGAAGAGTATCTTCATCTCCAAACAGTTAAAGGGTTCTGAGAAGAGGCTGAGAACTTTAAATAGATAAACAAAACAAATCCTGAATTATGCTATAATCAGAAGCAAGGGAGGGACCTACAACAGGAAAAAGAAGAGAAAAATAAAAACAGTCAAGAACTTTTTAAGAGCATTTTCAGTATACTGAAAAGAAAAAGATATAATTTGGTTCAATAAGAAGAGATAAAAATACTTCAAGAGAAAAAATAGTATTCAAAGAGGTATCCATGTTTGACAAGGCTGGGGACTGAGAGAAGAAGGACAGGAAGTAAGAAAAGCAAAGAAGAAGTGATGTGGCGTTGGCTATGGAAAATGGGCAGACTGGGAGGATCTATAGATTTTTATGATTCTGATGATGATGATGGTGATGATGATGATGATGTAGCTATGACGTGAACTCAGTGCTCAGCAGAGATGGTAACTGGGGCTCTCTCACTTGGAAGACAACAAGTTTTCAATAGAAAACTGTACTACAAACACATGTACTGCAAACTTGAGGCCTTCTCAAGCCTGTTGTTAAGAACAGATGCGAGTCCCTAACTTACTGGCTACAGTGCAACAATAGGCTAGTTTTCCACCAGTGCCTCGAGTGGTGAAAGGTTCAAGATTCCTTACTTGTTCCATTAAGTCTGCTCGTGAGGAATGATAGTCAGTATACGAGTAGAAGCTACTGTTGTCCACATTTGCCATACTAAGTAACTATATTGAGTAGATGCAACATACTCGCCAATACGTTACAATTTTCTAAAGGCTTCTCCTCCAAATGACTTTTATTCTGGGAAACTTTTTAAAAATTAAAAATAAAAATCAATGAAGTTTTTCTAAATGCCTGGTATCAATCCCATTAGTATCTGATGACAATCTTCTTCACAAGATCTTGTTCTTCAGAGGAAGCAACAGAAAACCTACCTTTACAGCCAACATTAAGTTTGAAAACAGTGCCACCTAGTGGGTATCTTTTTATTAAAGGCACTCCTTTGAAAAGATGCATTTAAAATTCATTCATTCAAGATTTACTGAGGACCTATACCATGTGCCAGGCACTACTAACTACTGTAAGTACTGAGTATACGACACCACAATACCCCCAAAACAGGAAATGAAGAGCAGAGGAGAAGAGAAAGTTACATTCTCTGTGTGCTGACTAGATTTGTGTCACCTGGACACAAACTGTAGACATCTGAGAGGAGGAAACCTCAATTGAGAAAATGCCTCCGTAAGATCGGGCTGTGGGCCAGTCTGGAAAGCATTTTCTTCATTAGTGATTTATGGGGGAGGGCCCAGACCATGGTAGTTGGTGCCATCCCTCGGCTGCTGATCCTGGGTTCTATAAAAAAGCAGGCTGAGCAAGCCATGATACACAAGCTTGTAAGCAACACCCCTCCATGGCCTCTGCATCATCAGCTCCTGCCTCCAGGTCCCTGCCCTGCTTGAGTTCCTGTCCTGGCTTGTGGAAGTTTAAGCCCAATAAACTCTTTGTTCTCCAACTTGTTTGCTTGTTTGGGGGTTTTAGTATCTTTTGTTTCTCTCTGTGTGTCTTTTGTGTGTCTTTCTGTCTCTCTGTCTCTTTCTCTCCCTCTTTTTTTTTTTTTTTTGGCATGTGTTTCATCACAGCAATGGAAACCCTAAGATATTCCAGAAGGAGAAAAAAGCAGAGCACAGCAGAGGCCAGCTGCAGTGCTCTAACGGATGATGTAGCTGGAACAAGGAGCAGGAAGAAGATTGAAGGAGGAGAGCCAGAGAGCCAGCGAGAAATCAAGGTCCTCTCAGACCTTCAGATCTATGGTAGTCTGTTTGGGTTTTATTATGAAAAATGAGAAGTCTGGGAACAGACCTGACATCATCAGGTTTCCTTTTTTTATCAGACCTTAACCACTCAGCCACCACATCCCACATATGTTTCTTTGAAAAATAAAAATAAAATTTTTTAAAGTAAAAGACTGCTCGGGGGGGGGGGGGGATTGGTTCAGTGCTAGAAACCACTGGCTGCTCTTTCAGAAGATGGAATTCATTTCCCAGCACCCAGCTGGTGGCTCAAAACCATCCTTAACTCCAGACCTGCCACCCTTTTCTGGCCTCTGTGGTATCGGGCACACACTCATCATTCAGACATACATGCAGGCAAAACGCCCATACATGTAAGATACAAAATAATAAATAAGTTTTTGTTAAGGTCTGCTCAGCAGGCAGCAGTCCCTCAGGCTTGATGGCCACCAATCTAGCTCCAAGGCCAGTGAGAAATGGTCTCAAAGGAGGAAGGAAAAGAATGATACGTCAGGACACCCAACATCCTCCTCTAGCCACCATACGTAGGCACACACACCTACACACACACAGACACACACAGAGATGGAGGGAGAGAGGGAGGAGGGAGGGGAGGAAGAAGATGGCTCCAGATGCCACATGGAGAAAAGGCTTCAAAGAGCAAGGGGAAAACAAGACGAGCTGGTACTGCTGTCCACACAAGAAGCGATGGTGCCTTGACACAGGGAGATAATACCTCAGAAAATTAGAAGCAAATGGATTTAAAGTATAACTCAGGCAGGGGGCTGGAAGAATTGGATGAATATCTAGAAGAATGGTGATTCAATCAGGATTGTAGTTACTGGTGTTCTTCGTTCGTGCGTGTGTGCGTGCGTGTGTGTGTGTGTGTGTGTGTGTGTGTGTTTACCAGGAAATCCAGAATCCATCTTCAGATATATGAAGTTACCCACACATATAAATGTGACTTTAATATGTTATTATGTCAAGTGGCAAATGTATATGAATCTGGAGGTTGTGGGAAAGCTCAGAACATGAACCCATGATTCTTCTTCCAATCAAGAAATATGCTAAAACCATGAGAGTGGATCTGAGGGGCTGAGGTTAGATAGAGGAGGAACAAGATCCTACAACTGGGTTCCCGGATTCTCCAAGGGTTAGAAGCTGACAAACTGAGGGGGCCCAGCAACACAGACTAATGTGATCAGAAACAGGGATAAAACCAAGAGAGACTGGTCCTAAGAGGCCAACTGATGGAAACTGTTGGGGAGAGCAATAACCGCCATTGGGAGTGCTGCAGGACTGAACACGAGGTGGTTGCATGACTTCCTGGTGATGTCACAGCCAACACACTGTCCAAGGGCAGCACATTAGCCAGTTTATAGTAATATTGGTATACACAAACTTACTATGTTTTCAGTCACATAGACGTGCAGTATATAAATTATCCACAGTATAAACACTTGGTGATTATTTCTGGTTGTGTTCACTCTGCTAGCAATCATTACTTCAGAATGTAAGTTACCTCTACAGCATTTTTAAGTTCTGTAAGACACAATGCATCAGCTTCACACTGTTTCTGCTCATCACATCTTTTGATTGTATACAGAGGCCACATCCATGATGAACACACACTACGTAGTCTGTGTAAGGACACTCTAACAGAGTCACAGGACTGACTGACTGACTGACTGACTGACTGACTGACTGAGTAATACAGTCCCCAAACCATACCACCACCGCTAAGCAACACATGCACTTTAAATACTATTGAGTAAAGTTCTGAAAATCAATTTCAGTATAGGGCTAGGAAATAAATCCAGTATGGAGTGAATTCAAGATAAATAAGAGGGAGATTTTGACTTCTGTGCACAAAAGATTAACTGGCTTGGGAATTGCCCTGATAGCATCAACTAGAAAAGCAGACAAAATATCTGAAATAACAGTTTCACACACTAAACAATAGTTGAAAACTATGACCCTCATGAGAAAGGAAACTAATAAAGGAACCTGAGGTATGTCCCAGACTCACACCAGAGGCACTTTCCATTCTGCGACACAAAAAAGGGAAGCCAA